GGGGCAGGGGTGGAGACACTGGACTCCGAGCAGAAGGTCTGGGCAGCAGGGCTGGAGGAAGCTGTGTCCATCACGGCCTTGCCCGCTTGGCGACGGTGCGGGGCAGGCACTGGAGCGCCGGCTGAAGAAATGAAAGGTGGCAGCTTTGGGTGCGTGGCTCCATGTGACCCCTCCCGGTAAGGGAAGCTCAGTTCTCCCGCGAGGCCCGCAAAGGAGGCTGCACCCTGCTGCGGTCAACTTGTCCAGGGCCGCATCTTGCCTGGATGCACAGAGCATGCTGGTGGAGCAGCGGTCAGGCGGGGAAACCAGGCCACTGCACTGGGCGTTTTGTGGCGGAAGGCCTGAGTGTTGAAGGGCCGCGCTAACGCTTCGGGGACGGCGGTATGCCGGACCCAGCGTCCTATCTTTTGTCACCTGGAGCCCTGTGGGAGCTGGGCAGTGGATCAGGACCACTGCGGAAGAACCGATGCTGTGAAATCAGTGTTGGAGGATGACGTAAGCACCCGACCGCCGGAAGAACAAACCATCGTGTCTTGGAAGACGTACGGCTCCTCCGGCAAGGATGAGGGCCCTTTGCCCCTGCTCGCCGCCTGTGAGCAGGAGACGCGGGGTTCTGCACAGGGACGCACGCTATGCTTGGCTAAGCAGAGGGCCAGAGTGAAAGACGGCGGCCCTCCAGGAAGTGGACGGACGCAGAGGCCACAGCCACGGGCACCAGGAGGAGGGTGTGGGGCCGGTGTGGGGCCTGCGTGGGGCCCGGTGGTGTCTCCTCTTGGCGTGGCGTCACTGAGTCTGAACCGACTGGTGACATGTAACTGGGCACCTAACCGGTGACTAGTTCTACGTCCACTCTGGGTTCTTAAGATGGACCTTGCGGCCATGGACTTGCGAGGGCTTCTCGATTGGCAGGCTTTTCTCTAACTCGGCAGCGCTGGGCGGTGGCTTCAATTACTCCCCAGGAGCGTCTCGCCGCCCTGGGGAGTTCTTGTCGTACCGATGGGATGTTTATATGTTCTCAGTTGGCTTCTTGGGTTTATGAAGCAGTCATCTTTGCTGCACTCCGGTTGGAGAAGGCTGTTCCCGGCACCACAGCAGGTACAGGGGAGGCTGCCCACCAAAGGGCTAGTGGCCGTCAGTCATTCGGGAACTGCTCTGTGGCAGGAAGAGGCGGCTGTCCACTTGGTCTAGATGACAGGCCTGGGGGCCGTCCACCACGCCCTGTACCGTCCCGATGGCTAGGAATCGCCAACGTGGCTTGGGGCTTTGATTTTGGCCAGAGAAGACATTTGGGACCCATCATGCCTGGAGCCATGTGGTAGGGCCCCCTAGCCCC